ATAAAGGCTTATATATACATTTAGTAACAGGGTTGCTCTGGGTAGGCAGAAAGTTCCAACCCTCTAATCACATGGTTGGTTCCCCCAGCAACTACCCCCCATCCTGAGGCTATCCTGGAACCCCCAGAAACCAGTTATCTTATTAGAATACAAAAAGATTTACCACTTTCGGAGTTTCCAAAGGTTTTAGGAGCTCTGTACCAGGAAACACAGGGCATAGACCAAATGTTTATTTCTTACTAGGTCACAGAGCCCAGAGAAATATTTAGCTGCACCATTTATTATCCCTCCACATGTGAAATAGAAGTAGCAACTGGCAGTTGATTTTACACAGCAGCTCAGTAAGCACTTAATGTTTTCTGGAAAATAACTGTTTTTCCTCCCGCTCTTATAAAAGTAATACGTACTCATAGGAGAAACTTTAATTAGGCAAGAAGAAAATGAAAACCACCTGTATACTTTGCTGAGCTAACTATTCCTCCTTTACTGTATACCCTTCCTTCCAGACCCTTTCTGTATATATGTAAACAGGACCTTGCTGTAGGTACTCTTCTCTTAACAGGAGGTCATGACAGAGATCTGTGCCACTTGCTGGGGGAGTGGCTGGGCGATGGTATATCGCTTCTTCAGCTTCAGTCCCTGGTTTTTCTAGGTTTCTTCTCTTCCTGATGTCCAAACTACACTCCAGTAGGCCAATCCTACCAAGAAAGGTCTGGAGAGGGAGAAGGGACAGTGAAGAAGTTCTGAGCTCAGTGAGGGTGGGGAAGAAGATGCAAGAGAGGTCAATGCAGTGGGTTTGGAGGGAGTGGGTGAAGGTGCTCTTCTGCCACCTTGGCCACATCTCCGGGAGCGGCTAGAAGGGAAGCAGTGCTTGCCAGGTCAGTCCTCTGCAACGCAGCCTCTTTTGACAGGCATGGCCCTTTCGGTGTTGGTGGTCCTGCTCCTGGCTGTACTGTATGAAGGCATCAAGGTTGGCAAAGTCAAGCTGGTCCACCAGGCTCTGGTGAGCCTGCCCACCTCCGCCAGCCAGCAGAACATCGCTGAGACAGACCTGGATTCTGCAGGCACAGATTCACCCCCAGTCAGCAGAACCCGCCTCAGGTAGAGGCACTCAGTGTGGGGAATGGGCAGAGTACTCACATTCACCCTGAGCCCAGAGAGCATCACCCCACTTCACAGAAAGGAAATTGGGGCCCAGGGAGGACAAGGACTTGCCAAAGTGGTTACAGTTAGAACAATGAATGAGAGCTCAGGTCTCTTGATGCCCAGGCCAAAGTTCTCTCTATGAACAGCCACTTGGGAGGCTCAGAAGGATTTCATTAGGGAACTGTGATCTTCAGAACTCTGGTGTAGGCCTTTATCTAGCAAGAGTTGTGGCCACTCAGCCCTCCCCTAAGTCACTAGGCTTCCAAACCCAGGAGGGGATCTGCAGCTGTCCAAAAGCAAGTGATAAAAATTGCTGTCAGCAATATATCCCATTGGCGGGGGAGGGAGGCACCCTCTTCTCTCCTTTCCTCCCTTCCCTTCCCACTGTGATTGGGCAACCATTTAGGGTCCCTATTCTGCCCTCTCTCCAGCTCCAGCCTCACCTGTGCTTAGTGAGCCTGCCTGCTCCATCACCAGCTACCCTACATGGGTGTCTCACGTCTTCACAAGCACCCTGCAAGGTGTTCTTATTCCCATTTTACTAATGAGGAAATTTAAGTTTAGAGAGGTTAAGACATTTGTGCTAGGCCACATTTAGTAAGTGGCAGAGCTGGGAACTGATTTGTCACCAAAGTGCATGCTCTTTTCATTGTCAAACCACCTCCCGCAGTAGATTCGGGGGAAAAGTCTGCCTACCTGATGATTTCCTCATATCCCTTATCAGACAAGATTCATATCTCATCATTTTCCCTTCTGCCTAGGATTCTAAGAAGCTCAGAGTTAAATGTGGTAGAGATATGTCTCTCTAAAAAGAAATCTCTCCTGTGTTGAGAATACAAATTATAAGCCAGTCCTCTAACTCAATAGCCCTTTCTACTCCCTGACATCAACTCCCAGTTTCCAGCTCATTACCAGCATTAACTTGGTTCTCCTTTTTATCTAGGTGGGTTTTGTGTCACCTTGGCCAGTCGTTAATCCACGTAGCTCAGGTGGTCATCGGCTACTTCATGATGCTGGCTGTAATGTCCTACAACACGTGGATCTTCCTCGGTGTGGTCCTGGGCTCTGCTGTGGGCTACTACCTAGTCTACCCATTTCTCAGCACAGTTTAGCTGAGGAGGGATGTGCAGGCACTGATGCTTGAGGGAACTGGGACCTCTTCTTCCAGATACTGAGTGCAGCTGCGTTTTCTTATGGCTGTTCCTCACCTAGTTCCCAGACCCTGGAAACTTTGAGCTGAAGCCAGCACTTGTTCCCTGGAGTTCAGAGGCCATTGCAGCCACCTTCCTCCTCAGCCAGCCTGCACAGGGCCCAGGCCGAGTCTTGTGCCTTAAGAAGGCTGCTGTGACCAAAGGGAGAATGGAGAGAACAGAACCTGTGGGTGGGGTTGCTGAGCCCATGACAGTACATCTCTGTGAGTCAAAACTTAATAATTTCCAAAGATCTTCAAGACAGGGAGATGGGTTCTGAGTGATGAAGGGCATGGAACCTGATACCCTCTGCTCTCCTGCTTTGTGCCTTATCTACAAGAGCATCTTCCATTTGACTTCCTGACCTCTTCTGCCTTTGGGAGACAGAAACCAAACTAGCTCCCTTTTCTCACCTTTCTGCCTTTGGAACACATGAAGATAGTCTCTACTACGGATCATGTTGACAAAGATTTTTCATTTTTCCCACTGAACTCCTGGTTGGCAATTTTGCATATTCATACAAAACAAAATTTTAAATGAAATGATTTCATTTTATTCATGAGGGATGGCAACATCTGCTGAGACCTGTTTGCCTTTCTTGTGGGGAGAATAAGTGACACCTGAGTAAAGGCAGAGGGGAAGGATTGTTATCAAACCTTCTGGCTTGTCTGGATAGACTGAGCTCCTCCCATCAGATGGCATTGCCTGCAGGAGGAAGATCATCTAATAGCTTTGGGTGTCTGGGAAGCTCTTCATGGCCTTAATGTCTCCTCTTATCCTGATCCTCCTTTTTTGTAGAACAGAAAACTGCACTTAATACTATTCAATACTTAGTATTCTCTATTTATTACTGCTCACTCCTAATGATCTAGTGGAGAAACTGATTCATTCACTTAAAATACTGGGTAAGCCACGCTTGTCATGCAATAAGCAGTCAAACCAAAGCCATGAACAGTTTTAGAGTTAGATGGGACTCTCCAAATAGTTGAGCCTCTTCACTTTATGAAAAAAGGAAACAAAGATCCAGGGAGAGAAAACCACTGCTGTATACTGAGATATCTATGCTCAAGTACCTCATGGGCCTAGGTGAAAAGATGGTGTTAAGCTTTGGGAATTAAAAACAAATAT